GGTGTATGGGTTTGGTATGAGACAATATAGTAAGAATGCACTTGAATGACTATGAAATTTTATGTTGATTGAATCAAAGTGGTTTATGAGGTACATTATTGATCCAAGAGGAATATCATGTGATTTAAAGTGGTCGGATTGAATATGAAATTAAGATCTCTCGGTGGGATCAGTTAGTGTATTGAATGAATGTGAGAGGCTTCCATATGGGGGGTTATCCCTAACACTCCAACGGTCTTTCATTCTCACTTAGAGAGGATTGACGCGTGTGGTGGGAGTAGTGGGAGGTCCTAGGGTAGGCGCTATCACTGAAGGTCTATTCCGCGGTAACGGACTAGCCTTGTGTATGGTCGGGTGGAACCCCTCGGCAATGGCTTTGCAAAGCAGTAGAGGCCATCACAAGTGCACAACCCGCCCCAGCTCTACATACATTCTATGTCCGGACGTGTCTAGAGTCTTAACATGATAGGATGCTTGTCTTGATGAGTTTTATGAAATAAATGCTTATGTTTATGATGACTAAGGTGTTTATGTGCGTATGGATATTCTGGGAAATGCTAGATTGATTGAAAATGAATTGTATGATTGTTTGAGACCTAGCTCACCCTTGCATTTGTATGTGTTGCATGTGTTTGCTTTCCCCCTTGCGATGATCATCCAATCCTTTGGATGTGAGCAGTAGGTGATGATGTACCTTTGGAGCAAGCTTTGGAAGTTGAGGAAGACCCAGCACCTAGTGCTTAGGATTTCTACTAGCTCTTATGTTAAATAGCTCTTCATTTTGAAAGACTTCTAGACTTCATTTTATCATGATCTGTATTTTGGAAACACTCTTTAGGTCCTATTGAATCTTTATTCAATCATGTATTTTGGAGAATTATGAACTTGTACTTAAGTTTTAAAACTTCCCAGCCAGACTTGGATAACTGTACTCCTTAATCCTATCTATTGTGTACTCTTAACTGCTTTCTATTATTATAATCGATGCATTCTAGATATATACATTGCTATATATTTTGGGATGTTACACCCGTGGGTTGTGACCCATTTTGACAGTTCTAGGTTTAAGTGACCAAAGTCATATAACTGTCTTAAATAATACTATGATATGTTTTAATTAATACAATGTTTTGTCTCTCATCTCATTCTTGCCAATAAAATCACTATCACAAGAAATAAAATATAAAGTTTATATTGTAAATTTGAACACAATAAAAATTAAAATATTAAAATCAATAAATATAATAGAGAAATTAGTAAAATAATTAAATAAATGTCAATATAAAATGCTAATTAAGACGTAAAAAAATTTAATAATATTAAATTAAAAATATTATATTCATTCATTTTTTAAATTTAAACATAAAAATATATTAAATGTAATATCCTAGAAAATGATATTTTTAGAGGTGGTGGTAGTCTAAAAATAGTGAGCTCGATTATTTTAATATTAAACAATTTTATTATAAATAGTTTTGTTATAAATGAATTTCATTATTTTAATGTATTCTATGTATACATTAAAAATCTTTATGTGATTTCACATTTTAAATAATTATAAAAACAACAAAAACATGAGAGTATGATGATCTTACAAAGCAAGAATTAGCAACTTCTGACGACAAAGTGGATATGAGACTGTTCACCCAAGAGCTAATACATACATAATAAAATTCATGAACACGCTCCAAATGGTTGAATGAAGTCTCAATTCTTAAACCCTTCCAAACAAATACAACGATGAGATTCTTTTCTTTGTTCCTCACGAAAGCCTTTATCAAGAGGAAATATTATCATGACTTTGTTGATAAGATAAACTTTGATTTCTAAAAGTTTGGTTCTTATTTCATGAGTCTCAATGTCTCAAACTTTTTGGTCATCATTAAATATAAACATTTATGCAAAAGAACGATAACAATTTTTTTAAAGTAATTTTGAAAAATATTTAAAAAAACAGGGCAATAGAATAACATGATATAAAATAAAAAAAATCACAACAATTTATGTCCTTGTGATTCTTTTAACAATTTAAAAAAAGATAATTATTTTCTAAACCGATTATCAAAAACTTTTTTTTTTCATCAAACAGTTTTTTTATATATCTAATATTCAATTTATTCTATAAAAAAATATAAAGAATATTGTAAGTATTGTAAATATTTAAGTATTTACTTAAATATTGTGTTATTTAAATAGATATTATAAATAATATCTCATTTTTTTTTATTCGTACTGCTTAAAACAAAAGTTATTCAAATTTTATCATAAGATAAAAATTGTTACATGCATAACTGAGAAAATGTTATTCGATATATATTGCGTTGAAAAAAAAAAGACAAATTTGTAGTTTTCCTATAATTAAAAAAAATTATTGTAATTATTTAATTATCGCGACTTAATTAAAAGTATAAAATATACTTAAGTAAATTTAATCTCATTATCCAAATATACGGATTTACAAATTTGTATACATAATAGCACAAAAATTGACAAATGAAATTATAAATCCCAATATACACTCAATTATAATAGTACATTTTAATTTTTCATACATGTAATATGGCAACACAAATTCTATTATTAGGCATCCATAATTGAGTAATTTAATTATATTTGAATTAATTACTCATGTATATTAATTATATTAATTCTAATATCACCCATGTATATTAATTATTTAAAGTTGATTTCTCTTAAATTAATTTTTTACATTAAAAAAACTATAAACTGAAGAGAAGGAGAAATCATTCGAAATCATATATTAGTTGTACAATTATTTGGATTTTATGTACTAATAATTTAATTTTAAAAAAGTTTGTTTGGATTTCAATATCTTTTAATACCTGTACTTAAAGACAACTAAAACAAATATTTATTATTTTGAATTTTTCTGTTTTTGTTATCTTTCATTTTTCTTTTGATTAAATTTCGTTTGACTTGACACAAAAATTTAAATTAATTAAAAAAAACAAACTTTCAAAATGAGTGTTTTTTTTAATCTTAAAACTTAAAGATATAAAGAAAATGTTATTTTTAAAAAATAAAATCAGTGTTATTTCTTAAAATATTTTGAAAGTAATTATAAAAGATCACTCCAAACAACCATGCTTTAGAAATTTTCTAATGAAGATTAGATAATATTTTATTTTAAATAAAAGTTTGGTACAGCTTAAAATAAAATTTCCAATTTATTAAAAGCACCTTTGTTATCATCAAACAAAAACACTCACAAGAAAAAAAATGCAAAATAATTGGGTTTCCTGAAAATTAAACAAAAAAAATACATTAAATCATTTTGGTTTTTATTCATAAAATATTTCTGTTTTTAATATTATCTTTTACTTAAAGATATTATAAGTATATTTTCAAAAGAAAAAAAATATTTTATGAAATATTAGTTACTGCTATTATCACATCAATTAATGATAGAGATATATAGTTAAGATTTGACAGGGGGCTTCCAATGGAACAAAACAAGCCAATCAGAATGTTTAGTGATATGTGTATATGTCCCTATATATATATATATATATAAATGTATGTATATGTGTATATGTGTACACACAACACACTAAAACGTTGTCCCTCACTTTTCATCTGTTACCCTCGCAACTTTGTTGGCGTCTGTTAACGTTGTGCTGCTGTCTCCAAACACACTCACAACACATAACAAACTCAATCCATCACCTCACTGTCCAAAACCCTAATCTTTCACTGTTCTTCTGTTGTCACGCTGACCCAACACTTTTTTCACTTGAACTTCAGGAAAGGAACCCTTTTTACCACACCCACATGAAATCATCGTCCATTCAGGTCTGGGTTGGTTTGCTCAATATCACTGATTCATTTTGCAAGTAAAAGTTCAATCTTTTTGTGGTGTCTTTGTGTTTTTCTTGAATCTCTTAGCATCCATCAGGCTGATAGGTTAGGGTGTTGTGTGTTTGGGCAAGTGGGGTTTAGAAGGGGAAATCTTGGGAGTTGGGTGGATTGGTGAGAGAAAAAGGCAGTTATGGTGACTGCTGAGACTGAGATTGGTGGGGATCAGAAGGGGATTGTTGCTCCTAAGTCCCCTTGGAAGACTCCTGCTGGTGATGGGAAGGGAAGTGATGTGTCTGTGATGATGGGCACTGAGGCTTGGCCAGCTCTCTCTGATGCACAAAGACCACCCAAAAATGTTGAGATTGCTGCTGCTTCTGTGGCAAATGTTGGTGAGGTTGCTCCTAGACCTCCTTCTATGCAGGTTAGTATGCTCTCTGTGGTGTAATTGTGATATAGAAAATGCTGTGCATATATTCTTTGAAATATATTATTGTGTTGAATTTGTATCTATCTTTTCTGCTGTTTTATATCGTTATAGAGTTGATTTGAGTTTGTGATTACGACATGGAAAATGTAATGCGTAGATTCATAAAAATGTAATATGTAATTGAGTTTGTATATATGCTTTTGCTGTCTTGTATTGTTACAGATTTTACTTGAGTTTGTGATTACGACATGGAGACTGTAATGCATAGATTCATAAAATGTGATATGTTATTGAGTTTGTCTATATATTTTTCCTGTCTTGTATTGTTAGAGAGTTTACTTGAGTTTGTGATTATGACATGATAATTTTAATGCATACATTCGTAAAAATGTAACATGTCATTTAGTTTATATACTACTTTTGCTGTCTTGTATTTTTTTCAAAATTTATTTGTTTAGGATAGACATGTGTGTCTGATTATGATCTTCACGATTTTCGGAAGTTTTGCTAGTATGAATTTGTGGTTATTGATTAACATTGGATGGTTTAACAGATAGCTTAGGTGTTTATTGTTTTTTAGCCATTAATGTTTAATAAAGCTTGTATGCTTAATGCGATAAAAGTTTAGCCTTTTGGAATGTAATATATATTTTTTATTTGTGTGTTGTTATTTTGATTTAACAGAAGGTGAATGATTCTGGAAATATTAACCCGGTACATAAGCTGCCATCATCCCGTCATCCAAAGCTGGGTGCTAAGCGAAACTCAAGTGGTGCACCTCCCTTTCCTGGTCCACTGCCTTATCTTCAGCCAGTTCCTCCAATTTTTTATCCTATGGTACCGCCTCCACATATTGCTGTTCCTGGTTATGCTTTTCCACCTGGTCCAGGACCTTTTCCCGGTGTAGAAACTCCTATGGGGAAGCCGGTATCCCAGCCACCAGGACAAGCTTTTGCTCCGCCTGCTCATGCTGTTGATCCCAAAAGTGTTCAGCCGCCAGTGCAAGGGGAGCCAAATGCTTATGCTGCTAATTTTTCTAATGGAAGACCAAACATCCAGGAACAAGGTGACCATCCAAATCATGCCTGGCATCATCAGAGGCCTTTTCCTTCCAGAGCAAACATTCCTATGCAACATGGTTTCGGACCAAGGCCATTTATACGGCCTCCATTTTATGGTCCGCCTCCGGGGTACATTGTTGGTCCAGGCTTCCCAGGTAAAAATTAAATACAGTCCTCTATTTATGTTTTTATATCTATTATTACAAGGACACCCATATACTTCCTTTTGGTGTGAAGGCACTTCTGGATTTCTCAACCTGAATGCTACTTGAGGATTTTTCTTTAATTTCTTCATTCTCCATCAATTAGTTCTTTAATCCAATTTTAATTTTCTGGATAGGATCTGCCCCATATTGGGGTGTCACTATGCCACCTCCTGGCTCCATTAGAGGACCCCATCCTCGGCAATTTGTTCCATATCATGTCAACCCCACGCCTCAGCCACCACCTCCGGACACTGCATCTTTGAGGACTAGTATTGTTAAACAGATAGACTATTACTTTAGGTATGTACTTTCGTTGTTTTGGGTGACTTTATATTATATTTGGTGTTAATTGTTGGCCACAGTTAAATATATGTCTTAAAGACCTGATGTGATAAACCTTTTTGTGGAGGTTCTTTTTATCCCACATCATCTGAATGATGAGAATGATGTTTCTGACTTTCAATTGATGACATTGTTCTGTTATTTTGTATGTTTTTATTGTGAAAGTGCTGTACTTGTAGATTCATTGATGTCAATCCTGTATCTCTTATATTTTGACAATTGCGTAAGTTTAACATTTAGATGGTATTGTTGAAGAATTATTGACAGACATGACAAAGTGGAAATTATTTTTATTGTTTGGAGTTGGGAGAGCTAGCTAATGAACATCAGGAATTTCTTTGGAAATTCAATGACAATATCTGTTTATTCCATTTTTTTTTCAAGTAAACGAAAGTAATTCGTATGATAGAGTAGTTCATTGAGCAAACTGCTGACTCCCAAGCCATCTTTTGGCAGTGACGAAAATCTGCAGCATGACCATTACCTTATTTCCTTGATGGATGACCAAGGATGGGTTCCCATATTCACTATTGCTGGTTTTAAAAGGGTATGTCCAAAGTATATTTTACCTCCCAAATCTACTATAGTGTTCAGATGTTTTCTTTTCTTCTGGTGAGTTCGGTGTTATTTCCCCTTTCTATCTTGCCTTAAATGATTTGAATTATCTTGTTAGGTCAAGAGGATGAGCACAGACATACCTTTTATCCTTGATGCACTTCAGAGCTCTAATAATGTGGAAATTAAGGTTATTTTGCTATTCTGGTTTACTCTTTTAGTGCATATGCTTTTCATTAACTCTAGAATCTAGTGTGTTGCTTTGATTACTTTTTCTCCTGAGCAAATTTCTTTTATGGTACTCTATTTTTTTCTTGGGAGTTGGTAATTTCAGATGTTTATGTCAGGAGTAGTACATAGATTTTCTTAAGAAACATTTTAAAAGTAATGGCATGTGGCTTTATGTTTGTAGGGAGTTTTAAACTCGTACATTTTTTTCAAGTAATGAGTTTTTTCTTTCCACACAGGCATGGACCGACCTTAAATCAGCCCAATTCCTGAGCCCTTTTAATTTGGTCAACTGATTATTTGTATACTATAGATTATTTTTCAAAAATAATAGTCACACACATTTTTAAAAATCAGATTATAGTGTTTTTTTTTTATTTAACATAAATCAATTATGATTTCATAATATTCAGTCTCTATTTTCTTATTTATCTTCCCTAACCTATATGTCTAGACTTTCACTATAATTAGTTTATTATAAGGCGGATTGGTACAATGGCAATATAACCTTGCCATTATGCCAACACTCACCCTCCAATACTGTTTCACTATATTTCAGAAGAAATTCTGTTTTGAAATATTGCATACATATACATTAGCTCATAGTAGTAATACGACAATTGTGTGGGACAGTGGTGTGGTTTTTTCAAAGTGGATGAGTGCAATAGTGTGCTTTTCATGCCCTGAAATGGTGCTACCATGTAGGCTTCAAAACCCCTTTTTTACTCCTGGAACATCAATGTTTTGGGTTATTTTTGGATAAGATATTCCACAAAAGGTTATTTATATTCCCTTGCACATTATAAAACTTTTTTATTGTGTATTCCATTCTTTCTTCTTTAGACTTCCCAGGTCACATTTTACTATTTTATCTTTTTTTTTCTTTTCTATTAATTTCATCATCAATCATTTTTTTTGTCTTCCCTTAATAAGCTCTCATCGCTCCTAAATTGATGTGATAGTGTGTACACCAAGAGTTATTATTTTCCATCAATTATTTCAATTTTGGGTTTTATTTTATATAGTATAAATTATTTAGCTTTTATTGCAAAGTCAGTTGCTATTCACTGTTCTGCTACATAATAATTCTTGAGTCCAATGCATTTGTAACATCTGTCGTATAGATGTGCTGAGTTTATGAGAATTGCATCGAGCTAGTTGTTTATTCAAGAGGACATCTTTGTTTGGGATCGTTTCTTTATATTTTTTCCAACTTTTCCTTCATTATCTTAGTTGCCTCACTTGTAATTTGCTTTATTTTTATAGGGTTACAAAATAAGGAAATGCGATAATTGGTCAAAATGGATTCGAGTTTCTTCAGGAAATTCAGAATCATCTACAGCTCAGATTCAGCAGAACCAACTTGTAGATGGTGCTGTCAATTCCCTTGAGAATAGTGATGCTGCTGGAGATAATACAATAGAGACATCTGAGGCAAATCCTAAAGATGCTGTTCATAATTCAATTTTGGCTGAACATGATCAGCTCAATGAAGATAAGTTGCAAGTTTCACATGCAAACCAAGGAAACAATACGGAGAGCCATTATTCCAATGGTAAACCGATTGTTGCAACTGGTGAAAATGTCAAATTGTGTGATTTTGACACAATTAGCAGTAATTTACGTGATCTACAAGAAACTGAGCCCAAAATATTTGACAATAATGAGACTAGAAACATGGATGCATTGAATGATATGGATGTCCAGGACCTTACAAATGATTTTGGCAATACCTTTATGCTCGATGAAGAGATAGAGCTTGAGCAGAAGATGATAAAGAAGAGTGAACTTTCTTCTAGTGGAAGGTACTTCACAGTTCTGTTCTACCTTTATGCAAAAAGTGTTTTTCATAGACTATGACAATTGTTGCATATGCCACTCTCTTTATGCTAAAGACAATTTTCTTTATTTCTTTGTAACATGAAATTCAAAGATTCCTTTTTTTCCACCCTTGACAAAACAATGTGTTTATATTCTGTTTGAGATGTTAAAATACTTCTCTTTACTTTTCTTGTCTGATGCAGAGAATAGTATTAAGAGATTTTTGTGCCATGTCATTTTTGCATATTCTCTTCTTTTTGTTTAAGTCATGTGATAGAGTTTTTTGGCCTAAAAGGATTGACGATGAAGATGATGAGATGGCTGTCATTGAACAGGATGTTCAAAGACTAGTAATTGTCACCCAGGTATTGATATTGCTGATTTAATTGAAAATAAGTTCAAATGTTTATTCTTTCCTCTAAAGTGGGTTATCATTCAAATTGGGTTTCAATTTTATAGTCAAATTATCTATAAACAATCATGCTGATGAAAATTCAAAAAACAAATTAAGGGTCTTTTGATTTGATGGATATCAGAGGCTGGAACTACATAACTATAATGCACTGTACACTGCTTACTTATAAATTATAACTAAAAAGACTACGTAATGCCTATTTTTTTGGTTTCAATGAACAAGTTGGAAACTGATTTAACCATATCATGTTAAAGTGTTAATTACTGTGAACTGATTGTTTAATAATTTTTGTATTTTGATGTACAGAATGGTGATCCTAAACAAGGATATAGAGGTGGTGGCAAAGAATCAAAATCCATTTCCAATGAGCTTGCTTCTGCAATAAATGATGGGCTTTACTTCTATGAGCAGGTAAAGTCACCATTCTTTTATGTTACCAATTGTGATTTATTTTTCATTTTATCATCATCTTTAGCAAGTTTTGGTTGCCTCACCTAATTATCAACAGGAGCTGAAACATAGGCGGTCTAATCGTAGTAGAAAGAATAACTCTGATAGTAGAGATCGGAATATCAAATCTCCTAGCCATAATTCGGGTGTGTCAAATTTAAAGGCAGTTGAGAATATAGGTGCAAACAGTGTTGAAGAGTCTGGAAGCAATACTTCTCGAAGGAAACAGAAAGTATTTCACAAACAACCATCTTCCCTTAAGCAGCGGTTTTTCTCAAGTAATTTTAGAAATCATGGAACTAGTCGCAATTCTCACGGAATCATATCCGAAAGTCCACCTAGTAATTCGGTCGGATTTTTCTTTGCTTCTACGCCTCCTGAAAATCATGGGTCAGTTCAAAAGTTCCGGTGCTAATTACTGTGATATGGCTTTTCATAGCCTTGTTTTTCAGTGAGCATGAGATGACATGATTGGTGTATTTGACAAATGAAAATCTATTTCACTAATTATCTTAATTTTGCAGTTTCAAGCCTTCCAAATTGAGTAGTTCACCTCATGGTGGCCTTTCTGGTAGTCCACATGGAGGATTTTCGGGCAGTCCTCATGGAGGATTTTCGGGCAGTCCTCATGGAGGTTTTTCGGGCAGTCCTCATGGAGGTTTTTCAGGCAGTCCTCATGGGGGGTTCTCTGGTAGTCCACCTGTGGGTTCCATGCCAAAGTCTTTTCCACCGTTTCAGCATCCAAGTCACCAACTCTTGGAAGAAAACGGTTTCAAACAGCAGAAGTAAGTGATAATGCTTGATACTGCTGGTATGCACAAGGAGTAATGGGATATATCCGTATAGTTTGCATTTTCAAAATTCCTCATGTGATTGTTCTTCATTTCAGGTACTTGAAGTATCATAAACGGTGTTTGAATGATAGAAAGAAACTTGGAATTGGTTGCAGTGAGGTGAACTTCATTTCTTAGTTTTTTCTAGAAATAATGTTTGGAAATCACTATCTCAAATACTAATGCTTCATTATGTTCACTTCTATTTTGCAATTTGTACCTATTGTTTGATCTATTTCCCACCTTTTTATTACTTAATTCTATGAATTATATTGCATGCATTGATCTATTTCCCACCTTTTTACTACTTTTGACATTTTTTATATTAATTTGCAGTACTCAGCTCTTTCTCTTTGACTTAAATTAAATCCCATCATTAGCAAAATCTGTCTATCAAAATGAGATTGGCTGCAGTTCTATGATCTTCATTTTTGCATGTTATTTTCAATCATGCACTGGCTTATTCTGCTAAATTCTTTTTGTATGTCTATGCAGGAAATGAATACATTATACAGGTTCTGGTCCTATTTTCTTCGGGACCTGTTTGTGCCTTCTATGTATAATGAATTTAAGAAATTAGCTAAGGAAGATGCTGCTGCTAATTATAATTATGGCATAGAGTGTCTTTTCAGATTCTACAGGTATCAATTTCAAATTTTTGTTGGGTATAGTAATTTGCTAATTCTCATGTTTTCTAATTTTCATCTACTGTTTCTTTCAAGAGGCTGATAAAAAAATTTCATCACGCTCAGTTGTTCTGATCTTTGAGTAATTTCTTGTTCAGTTATGGTTTGGAGAAGGAATTTAGAGATGATTTATACAAGGACTTTGAACATCTCACTCTGGATTTCTACCATAAGGGCAACCTGTATGGCCTGGAAAAATATTGGTATAACTGATTTACTCTTATTATTTTTTTTCACTGCACATTAAGTTCAGTTCATGCAAGATTGTTCATAGTGAAAGAAGTAAATCATATCGATTGGCAGTGCAATTATAAACTAAAACAAATGTTCATTGGTCTATAAAGTTTATTTACATAACCACGTTAGTTATATTTGATAATTTCCTGTTCTAACTGACCACAATATTGAACTGTGCTTTAGCTAATCCAAATTAAATCACCATATTAGTAATATATATGTTAGTTTGCCTGTAACAATGTTACCCTGTTTTCAAATAGCACTGCATTTCTATAATTTGGGGAGTGGAGGTGCCACAATCCAAAAATTGATTGTCTTAACATCATCATCATACTCCAGTCCAGCACTTATGCTATGTTCTTTACATATGGCATTGGCAGGGCATTTCACCATTACCGGAAGATCCGCGACCATAAAGAGCCTTTGAATAAACACCCTGATCTGGATAGGTTGCTCCGGGAAGAGTATAGGGGTTTGGAGGATTTTCGTGCCAGAGAAAAGACTGGTGAAAGAGGATTTGAATTAAGTTGAGTGATATGCCTGGTAAATAGACATGGCATAGAGTTTTGATGGCATTCCCAATTTTGATGAGAAGTCTTGACAACATAACAATAGAGTTGTTGTGAAGTAACCGGCCTGCATTTTGGTTTGAATGGAAAAAGAGAGGAAGATTGTTTGTTTGTTCTCTATATTTGGTGAGAAATCTCATCAAAGAGGATTGCTGATTGCTTAGTGTTTTCAGGTTTCTTTGATGATGATGATGATGATTCTATATGGTATACACCACTGCATCCTTTCTTTGGTGGATCTTGCAGACTTTGGGAGACACGTTTTCTTGTCTCAAAAAATGTTGTACATAAAGATGATAGAGACTAGAGTTGTGACATTACAGCATAAGAAAAAGAGGTTCTTGTTTTTATTTTTGGTGGGGGGTGAAAAAGGGGAAAAGGGTTGTACTTATATCTTGCCAAACTTGAACAATAAGAGTGAGAATCTTCTTACTGTACTTTGTCTTCCTCCTCATTTCATTTATCTGACAATTCTTCTCTCACCAATTTGGTATGCTTTCAAAATTATGACATTTTTGGTACAACTAAAATGGAACATGTTCTTTCCTTTGATTTTGGGAATTACTTTTTGTTAACCTTTTGTCCATGAATAAGAGTAAATTGTGTCAATATTCCTTGATTTTGTGAAATAACAAACCAAAATCTTAGTATTTTTATTTATTGACATATAACGTGCTTGGTTACATTAATAATATGGTTTAATTGTGAAAGAAGAAACACTTGAGAAAAAGTTCTTCTAAATGTTAGCAACAGTGAGAATTAGTATAATTTGGTCCAAACATTGAGAGATGTTATGCAAGTAGGTAACTGTGTATACAAACTTCGTATTAGACATACGTTTTCTTTAGATATAAACTAGTAGATAACTGTGTATATCCAAAAAAATGTATTACAAATACATATTAATATAATTACAGTATTTTATTTTATATATTAATTATTATAATTGTTGAAGTTTATAAGTAAAAGGAACATAAATAAATTTTAAACAATTTTTTTACTACATTAAATATAATAATAGTATAATTTCTATATTAGAATATTAAGATTTGTTAGCGACAACTTTACTTTAATAAAAGATCACTTTCTTCTTAAGTATGATCAATTTTATAAAAGTCTACTAGTTGATTTTGATTTTTTAAAGTATTATTTTGAACATCTTGTAATTTGAATATATATATTTTTTGAAGGAACATAAATAAATTTCTAAAAATATAAAATATTTAATTTTCAATTACTATTGAAAAATGAATCTTATATGAAGGAAAAAAGAAAGAGAGAAGATCATCAAGGAACATCACTTTTGCCTATATAAAGTATAAAGAAACCAAGTTGGTTCGAAACTGATAAAATCTTATTTGTTAATACCATAAACATTTCCTTCAAAATCACTAGAAGTAGAAGGTAGAAAAGGCAAGAATATCAACAAGACTGTCTCTTTGTGCTCTTTGATTTGGAACAGCATGCATCGTGAAATATGATCAAAAGGCATACCCACCAAACAACCAAGAATGAGTGTTTTCATCAGCAAGAATAGAATAACAAAGAACAATTTTTTATGTCTTTTTGTTCAGGATCACATTTTAGAACCCATGATCAATGACTACAAGTCTCCATTAAAACACAAACAACGACTGTAGCAATTGAAGGTCTAACATTCCCTTGGAAAAAGGTATTAATGACTAACAGTTAGAACCCTGAAGATCTGTTACGGCTCCTTGTGTTGTTCTCAACTTCAAGGTTGGTAACAAAGCCACAGCCTCACCATCAATGACAATAAGTTCACCATTCTTCAAGCACCTTGTCTTAAATTTTGCACTGAACATCGATAAACACTCATTTAGAAACTTTAATCAGTCTCTGCTTAAAAAAAATGCATAAAAATACCAAGAGGACTAAACTTACAGATATCGATTTCTATTTGCTCTAAGAGTAGTTGCTTGCACTTCCCCAATAATCTGATCTCCAATATAGACCGGAAACTTAAAATTCAAGTTTTGAGATACATACACAGCTCCAGGCTGCAGTCATCCATGACAATAGAAAAGTCAAGGGGCGAAAGAAGAAGAGGTGTTTCAGAAAGTTATCACAAAGAATCAGAACGATTGAATAAATAACTTCATATTATTGTCTTAATTCACATCATTTGTCAAGCACTTTACAAAGTCTATTATTCAAGTTAACCAAATCCAATGACAGGTATCAATGTTTGCCTTAATAAAAAACTTAGTTTGCTGAGATGAGAGTTAAATGCCATTCTCTTCGATTTCCATGGGAAGCATTAGAAGTTTGAAGAGAGGGATAGATTTAAACTTACAAAATGTGTGGAGATGATATGGGGAAAGAGAGAAGACACAAGCATCCCGTGTACCACTGGACCTTCAAATCCAACGTCTTTGGCAGCAGCAGACTCAAGGTGCAAAGGATTACAATCAAAACTCACCTTGGAGTACTGCAGAACATCTTCCTCAGTAAAAGCCCTTGCTTTTCTCAACACATCCCCAGGCTTAAGTACTTCTTGAGGAGTTACCGATGCAAAACCCCTTAGGTTCAGACCCTGAAGTTTGCTACATTGTAAACTCCTGAAGAGCATTCTTGCAAGAATTTTTCAATTCAACGAAACAAATCCTTGACGTCCTCCACTGAGTAAAATTCAAGAAAAATGCACCTTAGCATTCCCACAACTAAAGACCAACTATTTTTTTAAAGTAAAATAAACAAGACAAGAAAAGTTCATCAACTAATGATAAATTAAGGCACCCATTTTCGTTTGTTTGATGTGGCAACTACAGTTTAAAAGAGAGCCAAACTGATTTTAAACTACAGTGTACGTCATTGCCGCAAAAAGAAAACGCAGAACAGATCAGCAAATTTTCTTTTGGTTAAAGCATTTTAACAAACAGCTTCCCTGCATGCCAATAGTTGAATATATGTCACAACAACAAACTAAATCTAACATGAATCGAATTTCATCCAAAAAGCTTATCCAAAACAAAAGTCTATTAAACTGCGATAACAAGACAGCATTCTATAAACGGACCTCGGAAAGTTTGGACTTTTTGGTGCCCCTCCTATTTATTTATATAGTATATAAGCCGTTTTAGTAGGTTGTATAAATTTTTTACATAAATAATATTTATTTTTAACATTTAGAATCAGAAAAAAAAATTGTCTTCTAAAATATATATAAAATAAAGAAATGTGACTATGTTGACACAGGATAATAAGGATTGAACAGAGATGACAATAGAACAGATTATTTCACATATGTCTATTAAATAAATACCTATCAGGTTTAAATAAGTTCAAATATTTTTAAATGTTGGATCTTGCACCGTTCAAAACTTTTTCGAGCCTAACATAACGTAAATTGAAAATGGGTCAGGAAATTTACGTTAACTCACGCATTTTACGATGTTAAATTTATTATAAGATTTTTAAATAAAAATATTTATTTATTTTTCCGAATTTTTAACCGTATTGATTTTTATAAAAGAATGTTTTTTATTATTTATTATATACAGAATTATAATAATAAGGAAAATCAAATAATATATTAATAATATGAAAAAATAGTAATTATTAATAGATTTATTTAAGCTAATATCAAATGTTTTATAACAGAAAGAAATATATGACATTAATAAATATTAAAAGCTGAATAGGCTTTGCTAGAGAAAAATAAGAATAATATTTAATCAGGGTCACTAATGATACTCACAATGACAACAAAAATTACAATTGCAGCGGGTACGGTTGAAAAAAATTGAAAAATGCGATACTAAAGCATGAATAAAACTATTGTTTTTTGTAATATTACAATATTCATGCAATATTAAAGCATAAAAAATTATAAAGCACCAACAACTATAGCATTTCAGTATTAAAACCACGGTAAGTTATGAACAATAACAACAATCAAAACCTAATATTGTTATTATTACTATATGAAAACGCATATTATGTATTCACAATTTTTTCAAATTTTTAAAATTTATTTGAATAGTTAAATATTGTAATTAGAACATTTACCATCTGTTTATTTAATTTAAGAGAAGTTGGAAAATAAAGGTCGAATAAAAATAGTGATAGAATAAAGACAAGTTTGAATTTCCATATTCTTTATTATTTTATATTTTATATCATTTTATTTATTGACAATTAATTACACGGTTTCTTGTTAAAGTTAAACACTATAAAAAAAGGTTTAATACCTATTTTGATCCCTCGAAAGGAGGGAAATGTTCAACTGCGTCCTACTTTTTTTTAAAAGTTAAAAAGGATCCCAATTTTTGAAAAAGTGTCTATTTTATGTGAATGTGTGGCTTCTGAGGTTAAATGACGTGTAAAATTTAAATTAAAAAAAAATATTTTGAGGGGTAGGGGTTGTTTGCTCTTGTATTGAAGAAGATGCAGATGTTGATGGAAGACTGACTATGGAGGATTTACTTGCAGGTTCAAAGAGTTTGATGTGCCGATGACGAATCTTAGTTGGGTGATTTTCGCGAAAGGGATGATGTTTGTTATTCGCTATGAACTCGTGACAGGTGACTTTCATCATACCCATTTAGGTTCAACTTCACGCCCAATCCTACACAATGCATCAAGTTCATTCTCAACCCCTTTCAATACCAATAGATACCCGACAAGATACCAACTCGTGATCTTCATCTAATCTCAAGATTTTCTTTCATCTACACAAAAAAAAACAGATCAAAGCACAAACAAATCACTCAAATTCAATACATTCAACCCAAGAATACATCCTCAATCTCCCAAATTAAGTACATTCAACCCAAGAATACATCCTCAATCTCCCAATTTCCACTTAGTCTGCAAACTCTAAACTAGCCATCCCAACCCCATCCACATCCTGTCTCCACCGCAACCGTGAAGCTCCCACCCCCATCGCTCACCACCAAGCTTACCGTCGCCAGCACACTTTTATAAGTCGCGTGACCGCAACCCCAAACCCTTGCGCCATCACAGTTTCACCATCTCCTCGCGTAAGCAGCCAACATTCGGGTCTCGTCGTCGCTTGCCTCTGGCCATTCGGAGCTTCCGTCGTCGATGTTGTTCATCATCGTGGTCGTCGCCGAGACATGGTGACTCTGACTTGCTTCTCATTCTTCTCGGAAGGCCAAACGGCCAACACCTTAACTTGCGGCTGGTCACCTTGCCACCTCCTAAATGCCTCCCTTCTCTTGCTCATTCTCACGGAGAAAACCCTAAGAAGGTTTGGGCTTAGCCCATCTTCAACACAAGCAAGCAGTCATATTCTCTGTCAAAATATTTTTTTTTTAATTTAAATTTTATACGTCACTGTCACATAATGACATAAACTAGACACGTAATTATGTTTTGTCCACGCGGTTAACTACACCATTAAAAAATTAACACCGTGACAAAAAATAATTAAATTAAACAATTTTTTCAAAAGTTGATATCCTTTTTAACTTTTTAAAAACCGTAGGACAGTTAAACATTCTCCGCTTTCGAGGGAAAAAAAGGTGTTAAGTCTAAAAAAACTTTGATTACTTCTAACAAGCATTTCAAACATTTATAACAAATTTGTTTAACCAATCAAAAAATGAGTTATTTTCCCTTTTATTTTCCATATATACTTCGTTATTAATAAATTTCTTTTACGTTTCTAAATTTTTAAATTCTTCACATTAGTATATTTTTGGATTTGTAAAACTCAAAACTATAAATAAACCAGTTTTATGATGTAAATACAGAAATTTTGCAAATTCCGCGGCTTCTGAATTCAAATCTTCATCCAACGATTTATATAAAATTGGATAGTTAATTATTTGAAGTAAACATCTTTGAAAGAATTTCCGTATAAGAGTTCATAGATTTGTAAAAACTAAAGAAAACACGTAAAAATTATAAACAAAAAACTCACAAAGTCAAACACTCAGACTATGCAGTGTAAGCATAATTTTAACTACTAAAATAAAAAAAGAATATAACAAATTGCAATAAAGTAAATTGAGACCTTTTGCTTTTCCAGTTTAAAATATCATCAACCATAAGGCAACGAGAATGTAGGACACCAAAATGCTTTCATATGAACTGTAATACACATTTAACCTTTTGAAAAACCAAGGATATTTTCCAATAAACCACGGGTCTTCCATAGTGCACATTCGAATACTAAGATATTAACAAGCTATCATTAAAATGTGTGGAAGTACTTGATTATAATAGACATAGTAAAAGATTAAACACATGTAAACGCAAGAGCAAAATGCTTTAACATGTGCAATAATCTTTCAAAAACCTACTGCGCAGCCGTGCGCCAAGTCTAGTCCAATTGTCTTCCCAGTTATAGTCAACTAAACAGCATAAAAGTTCATCGGTGTTTCCTTTATAAGGCAGCATTAGGATTTCCTCAGCAAAAGAACATAGAGCTAGAGACATTATCATTCAATCTAGGCAACTGAGGGACAGGGTGAGCACCACTATGACTAGAAGCTGTCTCCGATCTTTCCTCAAATTTCATAAACTGCCCCATCTGAGTAGCAGCCAAGTGAGCATAGCAGATTGGAGCAACTGCAGAAGTTTATTCACCAAATTAGGCACACATACAACCATAAAAAATAAACAAATAAAGCAAAAAAAATCGAGTGACAAATTACCAACAGATATGGCAGTGGTGCTCCTCTGATACCTGTTGTCACAAATAAAGAAATCTTATTCAACGACTCTAGATGCCAAGATATTAAATAATAATATATTAAAACAGCAACTTACACGTATGATAACGAGTGCACAAGTTCCTGCAGATCATCAGCTGAAAACCCAATCTCATCTAACAGAACATGATAATGTGTAGGCCTACTAGTACCCTGAATAGTACGTTTTCAAAATAATTAAACATGTTAACAGAAGTTGTGACAAAAAACAACACTTGTGAAATTGCACGTCGCGACGACAGCAAACATTTGAATAACAAAAGAAGAAACAGGCACATAATGCGGTCATAATAAAAAGTGCAGTAAACCAAGATTCAACCACGATTTACAAGTTCTGTAATTTGTAAAATCAGACACAAATACGAATAAAACCGTGCAAAATAAACACTAAAGAAAAGTAAACAAATGAATCAATAGTTATGCATATATGAATTCACTATATACAGTAAAAAAGGTCAAATTCAAAACTAATAAAAACACGTTAAAAATAGCAGTGACAAGAAACTTCGAATACTCACAATCATTCCAGCATGTGCACACATGTAAAAGTCATAATTCCGAGGATGACAAATTTTGTTATCAATCACAGTTCCTGCACCAAGAAAAAAGATCAAATAACAAAACAACTAAATATTATTGACTCTTGCAAAACTTCCAAAAAGGTAACGACGTACCAGGAGGAACATTGTCGGGAGCATCTGCTTGAAAGAATTTAGTATGGTGGTTCTTTTGAGCCACAATAACCAAAAACTTGGGATTCCACTTCTCATCTAAAAACTTGCAAGCCTAATTTAAAAAGGTAAATATTAATCACAGAATAAACAAATGCAAAGTTAAAATATTGTTTGATCAGGCCATCGAATACGCACCTCTATAATTTGATCGAGCTCGATGTTTAAAACTTGATTGAACTGGGACTCACTGACTCCATCCCTAAATAGAGAAAAAAAATATAGAAAGTACTAAAAGAATAAAATCTAATCCAATAAAAGAACAATAACTAAATACAAAACTGATGTCTCAGGAAGAGGTAAAAAAGCAATAAATATGTATACATCAACAAAAAATTATGTACTATGCAGAATACGATACGTATGAGTCAACAACTATAACAAAATACAAAACTTTTACAAATATTCACGAAATAATAAAAAAACAACTACAAAATAAAAGTCTGCAGAGTACCCCATCACGTAATTTCATAGCATAATTCTAAAATTAATCATTCAATTAAAAAAGGGAAATAATTTAATGAAGCCATACATAGACCTAGAACAAAAAATTTAATAAAACATCAAAA